TGGTGGGGATTGAACCTCCACCTCATATATAAAAACATCACACTGGTGCCACTAGAGCCAATGGTCTTGGCAAGATGATCTACCCATTAAGGGTACATTTGATTGGAAGTATGGAATTTATATGAAAAGAAAATAAATTCTAGACAATTCAATTGCTTAAAACTTATTCATACAGAAATTATTAATTAAACATGTTTGATTAATTTAGTTTTCAACCTAAAAATATTATACTTGTGCATTTCTCATAGGTGGTAAATGAAAGAGCGAGAATAGATAAGAGTTGAGGAAAATATGGTCACATGACCAAAAGTTGAAAAATATTTTTCAAGAAAAAAATTGTCAATCAAACATCCAAAAAGTAGGAACTTGGATGGAAAAATAACATTTTCTATGAAAAATAAAGTCAATCAAACACATGCTTAATGTACTTGAATGTCACCTAAATTGGTACTTAATAAGTTAATATCAATGATGTTGAATAGCATTATTCTAAACAAAATGCTCATTTATGGATGTTGTAAAATTCAATGTTCTCTTCCGTTTTAGATGGATTTGATATTCTTTGCAGTCACTAAGGATTATATTTATTTTTACGCTTAAGTCAAAATAAACTATAGATGTTGAAATAAAAAAATTCAAATATAATATTGTACTCTTTAGGACCTAGCCTGGGGGATCCATGGAGGGTAATTAGATCAAAACATTCCTACCTTTTAATAATATTGTGTAAAACGTCTCTACCTATCAATTTTTTTTTTTTTTTTTTGCATTTTTACTCTTGTTTTCACCTTTTTTTGCCAAAAATCCTTTCATCCACTTACCACCAGCATCTCCGCTAACTAAATAAAAAAAGGCCAATTTTATTTTTAAAAATGAAGGGTAATATAGTATTCCCCAAAAAAAAAAATCCCCGTTCTTACCCATTCTCTTCTCTTATGCGAGCTCTTACCTTGCTATTTCCACTTCAAAAATTTCAATTTCTTCTATTTATTTGTGCATCCTTCCCTCAATTCTAGTGTGCATTCACCCAATTTCAAGCTTGATTCTTTGTTAGCCAAAAGGAAAAGGAAAGGTTTCAAATAGCCCCCATTCTATTTATTCTCCAGATTATTCAAAATTTCACTACATTATTGTATGCCTAAATATTAAATTTTGGGATAATTGCAGTAAAAGTCCCAAATATTTGAAACATTAGTAGACTTTCTCCAAACCTTTGATTTGTTGCAGTCGTTACCCATAACATTTTCAAACGTTGCAGGTGAAGTTCTTTTGGACGGTTTCCATCCATTTCTCCATTAGTTGACCACCAAAACAAAAAAATTGACCACTTTTTACTAAAACAGGGGGGGTGGGGAGGGATGGTAACTTACTATTTTTCCCATAAAATAATTAAAAAGTTATATCAAAAACAAAAAAATAAAAGAAAAAGGAAAATGTATCTTCTTCTCCTTCTCCTTCACCCCCACACCCACACCCACGCACAAGCCTAACCCCTCAACTCAAAATCAGAAATTTACCACCTCCACGCCCACCACCATCGACCACCACCACCACCACCGTGAACACCAAAATGTACAATTTTATATTGAAAAAGAATTTGAAGAAAACCTACAATTCCAAGTACCCAGTAGGGTTAAGTAAGACGTAATTGTGTATTACCATTATATATAGGCTACAGATGATAATTAAGGACTTGAATTTAGCTAAAAAGGATGGGCTTGAGGAAGAGCATGTGGGAGAGGTACTGAGTTTTTACTCTAACTTGACTCGGCCAGCTAAAATGCCGAGCCTTGTTGAAATTGCGGTAACGCAGTTGAAGAAGCCTAGGTACAAAGACTATTTTAAAAATCACATGGTGGGGATCGACGGCCACGCGATCGATGGATACAGCAAGTTTATTGCAACAGGAGAGGAGGGAAGCCTAGATGCACTCAAATGCGCCGCTTGCAATTGTCACCGTAGGGAAACTGAAGGAGGAGAAGCTTTTGTTTTTCACCACCACAACAACAAGTACTTCTTACCCACCACCCACACGGACATTTCAGCTATAGAAGCCCAAGTGGGTACCTCCACGTTGCCCACCTGTAGTAGCGGAGACTCTCCCTCACCTTGCCGTCGAGTTCAGGTGGCAGAGGGAATGGGTCAAGAGATAAGCTTGAGGACTACTATCCCAACCCCAGAGCCAACTCAAGAAAAAAAAGGTTCCGGACTGTTAACTGAATTAACAGATTCTATCCTAGTCAGCTCCAGCATCACCATCTGTGACCACAGCTATCCACTTCATCAGCTGACTCAGCCTTGCTGTTGAATCAGTTTGTAGTGCCTGTGGTCCTTCACTATTTGTTGTAAATATTCTTGACATGATCCACTATTTTAGGAACCAATTCACAGCTGTAAAATTCTAGAATCTTCCTTGTAAATTTCTCCCTTCACTATATAATACTCATGACCTCAACATTGAAGGTTACGGTTGATATTACAAATTAATCATCTTCTAAAATTAACTTGGTATCAGAGCATTTCAAAATGGCAAACGCCAGCAACTTCAATACACCTCAAAATGCTGATCACATTTCGATACCAGTCTCAGCCA